ATCATGAGGCCTGAAATAATAATCATAATAATTCTATCCGTCTCATAGCTTGATAGACGAAGGACCTATTCTGGGGTAACTAAGTTTAAACAAACAAAGAAACAGGTTTCACTTTGTGTGTGTGTGTTTGTTTGTTTGCTTACTCTGACACCCTTCCCCCTTCAGAAGCACTATCTGAGAGTAAGATTAAATTGACAGAACAATGCTAACAAGAGTCAGTGGATTGTACGATGTCGTACCTAAACCTTAAAGGTATGCTTGTGTCTTATTGGTATCATATTTAGTCATATCTGTTTGCTTGTTTGTTTGTTTTGCTTTTCTTGATATTCCCTTTCATTTTCTCTTCTTCTGCCTGAAGTTAAACCTTCTCATATTTGTGTCTCGTTTTCTAGAATATTATGTTGTTGTTGTTTTTATTGTCTGTTTAACTATGGTTTTGATGATGTTTTACATGTTTACCGAGTGGATACTTGACGTCTGTTGTAACTCATTCACGTGTCTATCTATCCATCCATCCATCCATCTCTCCGTCTGTCTGTCTGTCTGTCTGTCTGTTTGATTGACCAGTGGTGCTAATGACAGTCAAATATTAATTTTCTTTTTCTTTGTGTTTGTTATTTATTTCAACTCATCACATAAAAGTGGTCTTCAAAGCGTGTCATTTAAAAAATTAAAATATGGATTCCACTAGTCGTTATTATCTAGTACTTAAACCTGTTACAGTGTAAACATCTTAGTGATGACACTAGTGTCAGTAATAATGAAGTTCGTAGCGTGTAAAGTGTTAGTTAAAAGGAAGAGAGATCCATTGGTCGATACGATTCGCTCCTTTGGTATCATATTTAAGAGTAATGCTGCGGGACTGTTCTGCACTGACTTCTAGCTTAAAATAAAGAAAGTGAAGTGTTTGAGTGAGCGTATTTGACTGCTTCACTTAGTGAGGAGAGTTGGATCAGCCTTAGTTGACTGATTGTTGACGGATATGAAGAGGCTCCTGTGACATTTGTCAACTTACATCATCTTTGGTGTGTGGACGTGATATCAAGCTATCGAAGAGATGACGTAGGTGCCGCGAAGTATTTCACTCTAAGAGACGTGGAAGGTATGAAGAGGTTAGTTGTCTTTGACCATAGGTGCTTGCGTTCTGTCTTTTGTGTTAAGTGGGGTATGATATGTGGAGTAATTACTGGGGTTAGGCGTAGTATTAGGTAGGGAGAGAGAAATCAATCTCTGGTGTTGTGAAGCTACATCGATTGAGATACTGTGTGTAATACAACATTCCAGGTGGGATTATAATTATAGACTTCATCTCAATCTCAAGGAAGTGGAGACTTAGCCTGCTGGACACAAAAGTAAGAAGAGGAGCAGACGTTGGCTCAGACCACTACCTCGTACAGGGGACAATCCAAATCAAATTAAAAGCATTCAGAGAAAAAGGAACTGCAGATAGACCACAAGCCAAGTTCAATACTCAAAAACTGAAGGACCAGGAAACAAAGGACATCTTCACTGCAAGCATAAAGGACAAAGCTGAGAAACAAATCAACACTAGCGAAGGGGTCAGCGTCGACAAGCACTGAAATAAGTTGAAGATAGTGTGGAGTCAAACCTGCATGGAAGTTCTCGGCAGAAAGAAGAGACAGGACAAACAGTGGCTCACTACGGACACTTGGAGACTGATAGAAGAGAGAAGGGTGGCGAAACAAAAGATTATCCAGTGCACCGACGAGCAACAGAAACAGGATTGGAATGCAAGCTACAAGACACTGAACAAAAGAGTAAAGAAGAGTGCCAGGGAAGACAAAAGAAAATATTATGAAGCCATGGCAAGTGAAGCAGAACAAGCTGCAGGCAATGGAGATCTCGCAACACTCTACCAAACAACTAGGTGCCTATCGGGCAAACGTTTCACACAAATCAAGCCGGTGAAGGATGACAATGGAAAGTCAATCACCAAAGAAGTGGAACAAAGGAAACACTGGGCTGAACACTTCAAAAGACTCCTAAATCGACCACCACCGACAACGCGCCCAGCAATACCAAAGACGGAGGCAGAGCTATCAGTGAACACCAACCCTCCGACGAAATCAGAAGTCCTGAAGGCAATCATGATGCTAAAAGCTGGAAAAGCAGCAGGACCAGATGGAATCCCAGCAGAAGCATTGAAAAATGGACTCGGAGACATCAGTGAATTTGATGACACCACTACTGGAGAAGGTGTGGAAAGAAGGCAAATAACCTGAGGACTGGGAGAAAGGATACTTATTCAAACTACCAAAGAAAGGAGACTTAAGTCAATGCAAGAACTGGCGCGGAATTATGCTCCTGTCCATCCCAAGCAAAATACTAAGCCGCATCATCCTGGAGAGAACCAAACATGCCAACCTGGATGAAAAAATTCGACCGGAACAGGCTGGATTCAGGAGGCACAAGCCATGTATTGATCAGATCGCCACATCACGGATCATCAGTGAGCAAAGCTTAGAGTGGCAGTCGCCTCTCTATCTCAACTTCATCGACTTTGAGAAGGCCTTCGACAGCGTCAATCGAGAGGTGATTTGGAAACTACTTCGCTACTACCAAGGGGTGCCACAGACAATTATACATCTCATCCAACAGCTGTACAATAATGCTGCATGCCAAGTAATCCACAACGGGAAACTTACGGAATCCTTCTAAATGAGGACAGGAGTAAGACAAGCTGGCTGCCTACTATCGCCAATGATTTTCCTGATTGCAGTAGACTGGATAATGTGACAAACAGTGGGCAATGAGGAAACAGGCATAAAATGGACTCACACCAAAAACTTGGAGGATCTGGACTTCGCCGATAATATATGTCTGATTTTGCACAAACTGGAAGATATGCAGGCGAAAAGCAACAAGTTGGCAGAAGAAGCATCCACAGAAGATGAGACTTACTTCAGGTAAACATAGCGAAAACAGAGGTGATGAAAATTCCTAGGCAACACCACCAACAGCAACAACAACAACAGACAACATTCAGCATAAATGGGAGGAATCTGGAAGAAACAACCTCCTTTACTGACCGACCTACCTGGAAAGCATCGTTTCAAATACAGGCGAACGGAACTGACGAGGATATCAAAGCAAGAATCGAAAAAGAAAGACAAGCTTTCACTACTCTCAAGTCTGTGTGGAGGTCAACAACACTCAGCATCAAAACGAAGATAAGATCCGGATTTTCAACTCCAATGTGAAGTCAGCCAGTGCTACTCACTATACGGATCAGAGACTTGCATTGCGCGTCATAAAGACCATCTCAAACAAACTACAGACCTTCATTAACAGCTAGCTGTCTTCGCTCAAAACTACTCAAGATCAGATGGCCGGCCAGAAAAGATTATTAACAGAGAGGGATCTCTGGCAGTGAGTGAACCAACACAGCAGGAACCGATTGTGAAATAAATAGGCAGGAAGAAATGGAGATGGATTGGCTGGCCATACTCTAAGGAAACCATCAAGTGACATCACTAGGCAAGCCCTTGAGTGGAAACCAAAATAGAAGAGGCGAGTTGGCGAACAAGAATAAAATTAAGTTTCCGTTATTGCTTACTTCATCAAAATATATCAAAAGTCGTTCTAAATAATCGAAATTGTAACTTCAGTGTCTCGAGTGATGGCGAATTCATTCAAAGTTATCGACAAAGTCAAAAGAAGAAGTCTTCCGAAAACTTGAAGCATTGCAGAGGCCTTAGCGATTAAGATGCATAACCCTGTCGTATGATCATCGTATTGGAGAAACTTGTCAATCTCCTCCCTCTACTTGAGTAGAAGGTAGAAGTCTATCACCATGTTGTGATTAATACTATTTTGTGCACTTGTCATATGACATCTACTATCACACCTTTCTTAAGTAACCTTCTATTTACTCTCTCCCTCTTTACCTACCATATAATTAATCTTGATGATACTTGTCTGCGTGCTCTTTCAATAACATTCGATCGATGTTTTCAGACCATTTTCATGTTACCTAGACTTAACAATCTTGACGCCCCCCTAGTTACAGCTTGACTAGTCATCACACTGTCGAGATATTATGATCATGTGAACAATATTGCAAACTATTTTCGATTGTTGTTTAACAAAGTCTGATGCACACAAACACACACACACACAACATCAATTATGCATAGAACTGCGATTGTACAGCTAAGTAGTAAAATGTTTGTACACATTATCCACTCAGACTGCGAACAACATCGTATGAAAAGTGCTCAGTAGCCTGATTAAGCATCTATATTGAATAGTATGGAGACCCCTGGGGAAGCAATCCTCCTCAATGAAATACTGATATCAAATAATTTTTTTTTTTTATCCTTCACGTTCCCCAGTGGAACATAGGGCTTCAAGCTAGTGGCTTGAAGTTTCTGTAGCAGTGTTTATTTTACAGGATGGGGTTGCTAGCCTCATGCCCAAACTTTCCTCTTTACCAGCACTATTTCTGGCTCAGCGAGGTAAAGGAGTGCGTCGGCCGGGGATCGAACCCCGAACCATGTGCATGGTCGGCGAGCGTCCTAACCGCTATGCCACCGACGCACGATATCAAATAATAATAATAATCATATAATATTTGTGTTCGGGTAACAAACACTGAGCATACATACATACATCCTAGTTGAATGTAAAATATTATGAAATATCTCACAGACACAACATGTGACAGTGAATAATTATGAGAAGACGAAATTTTATGAAATGATGAAAGATGATTATTAAAATAAGTAAGAGTAAACAAACAATATTTCACAAGTAAAAGTCAAAAAGAAACACACAGAAAACTGAGTAACAACAACCAAGATAGAAGTTTTAGTAGATAGACTCAACGATTGTAAATATCGTTAAGGCATCATACACACCCACCCACCGACTTATACACACACACAGACACACACACACGCAGACACACAAACAATGTGATAAAATTGTCAGCTGATGAGAAAGTCAAATAGAAATTTCCATTTCAAGGGAGGATTGTTTCAGTGACATCTCCAGAATGTCATTGAAATCAGTGTAAATAAAATTACCATGATAAGTGCACCTAAAATCATGATTGTCTGAAGATTCCAGGCCGTCACTAAACTGATGTAGTTGGAAGATGTCTTCTCATCTGAATGAATGAATAAATAAAGAAATATGTAGGTTATTCAATAAATATTATCAAGCTTCTCCGAAGGAATATTAAAACTTATACGTATGTACATATTTTCAAGTATTTGTTTTGTAGAGATTTTGTTTGATTGCATGGAGGATTTCATCGTGAGCTGACATCAGTTAGAGAACCACTGGAAAACCTTGGAGTACTGGACAGCTGTTTCGTCCTAGTTTTGGACTCTTCATCAGTGCGCACCCACCGGCATTCGAACCCAGGACTTTCTGGTTACAGGGCGAGCTCGTAGACCATTGAGCCACTGGGACCCGATCCAATGGTCCTTGAAATCTAACTTCTGCCGATTCACGACATAGCGCGACCTGGGAGCTGTCTAGTTCTCCCAGGTTTTCCAGTATGTATACATATTGAGTGAGATAACTGAGAGATGAATGAAGGCCTAAATATAACTGTCAATAGATATCGTATTCATAGAGAAACATTCCCAACTAATATAATGGCAGTTGGTTGAACGTGTGGTATAGTCACTGGTAGGACGACATACAATAATATGGGGACTAACATAAAAACTCGATGTTCATGATTTCCTCAATGAAAATTTCAACCACAACTCGTTTAGTTAACCAGCTCGCTAGTATATTAGACGGTCCCAGGACCGGCTAAAGAGAGAGCATTGAGCGTCGAGCTAGCCATCAAACAGCACAAAATCAATAAAATGCTAAAAAAATCAGCGCACAAGGAATATATATGTAAAATAATAAAAAAATCAGAAGAAAATTGTCGCTAAAGGGTATTATTATTATTGTATCCTTTAATTCCTACAGGAACATAGGGCTTCAGCCGTGCGTCTCCATTGCGTTCTGTTCTCTGATAGAGTCTTCACCTTGCTCCAAGTCTGCCCACACGTTTTCATCTCCTCTTCACATGACCTCCGCCAAGTCACCCTTGCACTGACGACCAACTCGTCGCTTCCCTTTCGGGTTCCACTCGAGCAATAGCTTGTCTAGTGATGTCACTTGATGGTTTCCTAAGAGTATGTTCAATCCATCTCCATTTCCTCCTGCCTATTTGTTTCACAATCGGTTCCTGGTTGGTTCGTTCCCAAAGATCCCTGTTGCTGATCTTTTCTGACCATCTGATCTTGAGTATTGAGCGAAGACAGCTAGCTGTTAATGAAGGTCTGTAGTTTGTTTGAGATGGTCTTTATGACGCGCAATGCAAGTCTCTGATCCGTATAGTGAGTAGCACTGGCTGACTTCACATTGGAGTTGAAAATCCGGATCTTATCTTCGTTTTGATGCTGAGTGTTGTTGACCTCCACACAGACTTGAGAGTAGTGAAAGCTTGTCTTTCTTTTTCGATTCTTGCTTTGATATCCTCGTCAGTTCCGTTCGCCTGTATTTGAAACGATGCTTTCCAGGTAGGTCGGTCAGTAAAGGAGGTTGTTTCTTCCAGATTCCTCCCATTTATGCTGAATGTTGTCTGTTGTTGTTGTTGCTGTTGGTGGTGTTGCCTAGGAATTTTCATCACCTCTGTTTTCGCTATGTTTACCTGAAGTAAGTCTCATCTTCTGTGGATGCTTCTTCTGCCAACTTGTTGCTTTTCGCCTGCATATCTTCCAGTTTGTGCAAAATCAGACATATATTATCGGCGAAGTCCAGATCCTCCAAGTTTTTGGTGTGAGTCCATTTTATGCCTGTTTCCTCATTGCCCACTGTTTGTCACATTATCCAGTCTACTGCAATCAGGAAAATCATTGGCGATAGTAGGCAGCCAGCTTGTCTTACTCCTGTCCTCATTTAGAAGGATTCCGTAAGTTTCCCGTTGTGGATTACTTGGCATGCAGCATTATTGTACAGCTGTTGGATGAGATGTATAATTGTCTGTGGCACCCCTTGGTAGTAGCGAAGTAGTTTCCAAATCACCTCTCGATTGACGCTGTCGAAGGCCTTCTCAAAGTCGATGAAGTTGAGATAGAGAGGCGACTGCCACTCTAAGCTTTGCTCACTGATGATCCGTGATGTGGCGATCTGATCAATACATGGCTTGTGCCTCCTGAATCCAGCCTGTTCCGGTCGAATTTTTTCATCCAGGTTGGCATGTTTGGTTCTCTCCAGGATGATGCGGCTTAGTATTTTGCTTGGGATGGACAGGAGCATAATTCCGCGCCAGTTCTTGCATTGACCTAAATCTCCATTCTTTGCTAGTTTGAATAAGTAGCCTTTCTTCCAATCCTCGGGTTTATGAAGGGAATTCGCAATGAAAATCACGTGCACTGTATTCTCTTGATGACAGCTAGAAAAACGAACTCAATGGAAGAAATAAAAGGTAGGATTGACACAGGATGTGTATGGTCGGCTAGTGTATAGTTGTGAACTTTGTCATTGTTCTCCTGTATTTCACAGCTGCAGCAGTTTCTCACCTCGCCGATTGATATGAGTCAGCTGCTGGTCTCAGTATCGGCAGTGGAACTGAACCAGATCTCCTACCGGTCGTAGTTGTTGTTTTACTCCTCCTTCTACTCCTAACTCCCCACCTCCTCCTCATCAGCATCCTCCAACTCCTCCTTCCTCGCTGCTGTTGCTGTTGTTTTCATGAGACACACGTTATTAGCAAGACTTGGAATCGTCTCTGATGAAGACCATGACCTTGTAAATGTGTCTGTTCTGTCACTTTTTCTTTGTCTGGGTGAAATGAATGGCTTGGCGAGTGGGAGTTTGTTTGATTAGTTGACTGATTGCTAGATTGATCGATTGATAGATTGGTTGTTTGCTTGATTGATTGATTAATGGGATGATTGAATGTATCAAGCGGAGCTGCATAGCATGTGCTCGATGATTTCCACTGCAGTCTAGATAGACAGAGAGACTGCGAGACAGGCAAGGAGAGTTAGAGGAACAGACATGAATTCTGACATTTTGACAAAATTAGGTGTTAGCGGACTGATATTCTGACTCGGTGAAAGTGAATCACTATGGTTGGAAGTTTTATTGCCACAGTGACTGAAGGTTGAACCTGAAGCAGCTGGCCAGTTGTATCTTGAGGGGCATATCAAGTCCTGTGTTTAGTTGAATGGAGGGTGGAGAGAAGTAGATGATGCAGGAAAAAATTAGCGGGTGGAATATAAACAGGAAATAAAGACAAAGGTAGCAAACTTATCTAGCTCATAGGATTTGAGAGGACTAGTGTTGAATGGATAATGAATTGACTAACCTTGTGTTGTTGACTCGAATTGAGGCGTGGTTGTCAACTGTTGATCAGTGCCTTCCGACTTAGGGCTTTCTGACAGATCTGTGACCGGTTGTGTTTTTGTTGAATAAGGGTGGAAGAGAGAGAGATGGAGAGATAGATAGATGGATAGAAAGAGAGAGAGAGAGAGACAGAGATTGAGTGCGTGAGCGATGGAGCGTTGGATTTATTGACTGAGATTTGACTTTCGGTTGATTGTTTGTTTGCTTGTCTGTCTGTTTGTGTGTCTGTGTGTGTGTGACTGTGTGTTAGTTTGTGTAATGCTTGTGTGTTTGTTGGTGTGTGGTGGGCGGATTTGGTTGAGTGGGCGGGTGATGGTTGACGCGAAATGCTGGCTGGTTGGCTGGACGTTGTCGAAATCCAAGTGACAGCAATGGCAGTCAAGCCAATGAAGTCAAGCCAAGTAGTGTTAGGTGAGAGAAGGACACTGCTGGTTGACTGGATGGATGTGACTGTAGAAGGCGCGTGTTGGGTGAGTAATAATATCATTAATAATAATAGTAGTGTCAAGAGTAATTTTGATGATAATGAACTTGATGAATTGACTGACCTGGTGTTGTTGACTCGAATTGAGGCGTGTTTGTCAGATCTTCATCATTGCCATGTGACTGAGTTCTTTCTGACTGATCTGTGACTGGTTGTGTTTCTGTGGAAAGAGAGAGAGACAAATATAGGATGAAATATGTGTAGATAGAGAGAGGAGAATATTTTGATGTGAACGATGCAGAATCGGTGGTTGGTGTTAGCGACGAAATAATCGAGCTTGAATGATGATGACGTTGAGGATAAGGATGATGATGATGAGTGATGACGACTGGTGATTTTCGGGGAATGTGTAGTGTTGCGTTTTGTGGTATTGCGCTGTGTATGAATATGTGGGAGGGCGTGATGTGCTGCGCTGTGGTGTGCTATGCTGTGATGTGTTGATTTCTGGTGTGTTGTGTTGTGGTGTTTGTGTATTCCTGCGTCGTCGTGGTATGGTTGTCAGTGTGTTGTGCTGTACCTTGTTGTGTTATGTTGTGATGTGTGGTGTTTTGTGGTGTGATGTATTGTGTCTACGTGATTACGTGTGTGATTTCGCACATTGTTCTGTTGAAGTCAACGATATCGATGCGTTTCCGTGAATTGTGCGTTAATTGTCATTGTTCGTTGGTTATTTAGTGGGTTGGTGAGATGTATAATTAGTTATTTATCTATTTCGTTAGTTAGTGCGCAAGTGAGTGAGTGAGTGAGTGAGTTTTTCCATTTGGTTCACCGGTTGTTTGTTGGTTTGCTCGTTAGTTAGTTGGTCCGTTACTTCGTTAGTTAGTTTGTTTGTGTGGTAGGCGGATTGAATTGGTTTGTGTTTGTTTGGATAATGCCTAATTTATAATATAGACTACTTGAAGTATTGGATAGCGGGGCTAGGCGAGGCAAGTAAAGACAATGCAATAGAAGATAAGACAAACAATTTGGAAGGAAGGCGATGTGATGGTTCGGATTGATGGATTCGAGAGGACGAGTGTTGAATGAATAATGTGAATTGACTGACCTGGTGTTGTTGACTCGAATTGAGGCGTGGTTGTCAACTGTTGATCAGTGCCTTCCGACTGAGTGCTTTCTGACTGATCTGTGACTGGTTGTGTTTCTGTGAATGGAGTTAGGGAGGGAGAGATAGCGAGAGAGATTGAGTGGGTGAGCGAGCGAGCGAGCTAGCGATGGAGCGTTGGATTTATTTATTGAGATTTGACTTTCGGTTGATTGTGTGATTG